AAAGACATTTTATTAGTATTCAACTATAAAATGTTAAATAATGATATTATAATAACTGGTTAGTGCTAAAATACTTTTAACCGTTCTAACTATACCAATCGCTATACTATACTGTTTTTCATAATAAGTATTCTTCCTCACACAATAACATAACATTGTGATTCTTGTGTTGCAAATATTACAGTTAAATTGCATCACACATTTTTGATTTTGGTTTTTACAATATAAAAAACATGTCAAATTTGAAAAACGGCATTTGCAACATCTTCACAATATAAGAAAACGAGCAGCTCAGCGACGGAATGTTAAACAAAAATCATACACCACACATAATGATAAAAAACAACACCATTAAAAATGCTTATTAGTATAAATTAACAAAGCCTGAGAAAAATAATCGATAAACCTTGTATTAATAGCGCTGATTGGCCGCAAGAAATATAGTACATATTTTAATGGACATCAAAGATTGAATTCTCGATAAGCATTTCGAATCAGCAATTCATACATTGTTATAGAAATGTGGCTGTTAATGACTGCACACATAACTACACAGCTCATGTAAAATGTTGTAATTGTAAATAATAATTGCAATTACAAGCATTACACTAAAACGCTTATTGAACATAAAAATAGAAAAAAATTCATTGCCAAAGGCTCTAATAATTTATTAAATTAAAGAAAAATAGGTTTATTGCTCTATCATATTATAGTGTTTAAAAGGCATATAAAGTATTCTTAATAAAACAACTTTTAAACATACATTTTAATAACTAACCTTTCTTTGATGTCTTTCAATTTCCAGTTTCATTTGTTTCTGATATAACAACCTGCACATACATTAACAATTATTTAATTAAATTTCAGTTGTTCATAAACACTACTGTATTTGCTATAATAATAATTATAATGTTATTTAAAACATCATTACTTCACGAAATGCATTTCATCATACTACATGTACCTACATACGAGTACTGTACAGGTACATATGGTTGGAAGAATAAGGTTCAATATAATAAAACAAATTAATAAACATTTTACATTTTTTATATGGAATCACTTATAAGTATTCTAATTTGTTTTATTCAGGGTCAAATAATATTAGTTATTTATTTGATCTTTAATTTTTTTTACCAGCCCGACTGTAAATCAACATTTTAATACGTGCTAAAATTTGCATGGCGACTTATCGAAATCTGTCATAATCCCATAAATATTAATATGTTTTTCTTCACAAAATACTTTCAATAAATCAAGCATCTTGCATGCGAACCATAAAGACTTCATTTTCATGTTTCATTGACCTAAAGTATGACATAAAGTTATTGATAAGTATTTTCACAGATTTCAACGTACTGTCAGACAGCCAACAACCGGAGTCTTTTTAACAATCCAAAAGATGTACCTAGTTAGTGCCAATAAAAAACCACTAGTATTCAGGTAGGTGTATGTTAGGCAATACTTTTGTTCAGTACGAACTATGTTATCTTTCTTTATTACATAACTCATGTTTTTATTGCCATATTGATGTTTACTAGCGGAAATATTGTTCAAGTATACAATGTAGGAAAATACTTCAGACTCCACTGTTCATATTCTAATGCATAATAATCATTTATTATGAAAATAGTCATAATCTTAATAGGCTGTGTAAAAAAATTCAACTGCATAACGTTTACTTCAATGCAATAAATGGAAGTGGGAATTAATAAACAGAGTATCTACCGACTTGTTAAAACTGGTACTGATAATGAACAACATAATACTAACGACGTACAATCAAAAATACCTACCTACTATCATATGTACAGTGACTCTTTGTAATAATTTTGAGTATCTATTCGTACTCTTGTACTTATAAAATACCTATATTATTTTACCTCGCGATCGCTGTGTAATTACTGAATCTACAATATTGTAAGTCATTACTCATTATAAACTATCTTTACACTGTTTAATTATTATCGACATATATATATATATATATATTTTTTTTTTTTGAGATTCTGCATTTAGTACAATTTATCTCAACAATTGCATATAATAAGACAAATACTATTATTTTCTATTTTCAATTTTGCTATTAATTATCTATATTATACTTTTGGGTCGTGCGTGAAACGAGTAATGACTGATCATGCTGATATATTATAAATATTAAAAATACATATTCTAACATATCCAATGGTATAATGAACATCAATAATTCGGTAGAATAATTAATATGCACCAGTAAATGTTATGTCTCAAAAAACTAATGTTATAACATTAGAGACCAAGGTAATATAATATAAAATACCTATGCGATTCTCCAGTATTGGATTTTTGCCAAAACTAATCATTTATTAACTTCAAGCCAATTTTTGAAAAAAAATTATAGTTCTATTGTTTGATGTACGGCAGGAAAATATAAAATATGTTTTTTATATCTGAAACAAACACAAAAAGTAATAAATGATACAAAATATATTTTTATTGATGGGTTACAGTACTCCTACGGCACAGTTTCTATTTCAATGCTATTGGCACTTGGTAAGTATTATCTAGGTATTTTTTAAGTAATCAATTATGAAACCAATAGTGTGTAAAGGGTGTACACAAACAATGCCTATACATATTAAAATGTTTACATTATCCAATTGAACACATCAATCAAATTAATTGAATTCGCGGGATTACTTGATATAGTGCGCAGTTAAGTAGGTAATAACATTATTTGTTTATTCTACCGTTTTTTAATTGTATGAAGTTCTTATTAAAAATAAACGATCCGATGTTAAACTGTAGGCGTTAAAAACTAGGTATTAATATAAATAATTTTTTGACAATAAATCATGTTATTATACTTTGTACGTTTTTCCCTGATAAATAAGTATTCCTACACATATTTAATTTTCGAAGTATAAATATTAACGCATATATTCGATTAACTTAATAAGCCCACAAGAATATATTGAGTATTAACAAACATATTTTCAAAAATAAAAAAGAGGAAAACTACAAAATTCCTATTATTCTTGTATCTTAAGTTAAATTGATCATAATGCACAACAAAGATTCATTATTTAGGCAATATTGTGCTTAAAATTGTATTCTGAGTATTAGAGTGAATACGGTCAGGGTTTATTGTCAACAAAGCTTGTTGTTGTTGTTACCCAATACCCATGCAACGTAACAACAGTACAATGCAAATATTTTCCTTCCTATTAACTGATGATTCATTTACACGAAGCAACCTTGAAATTTAATACGGTCAAAGTGTAATGTTCCCTTTTTTTGGAACTTTCCTCCATATATGAAAATTTTTATCACCGATTTTTGTGAAAATTTTTACGTTAGATCCATTTTCAATCTAGTTTTCAGACAAGACCTAGAAATATACTCTAAAAAAATATACAATGAAAAAGTTTCCAACTCTCCGGGGGAAAGATTTTGATATTTTGTTGGTTTGTCAAGGTATATGGTTAATACCAATTAAACAGTAAATCGGAGGTCCTAAAGAATATATTCCATACTATTATTTTGTAAGTAATTATATGATTTAAAAAAAAAAAATAATAGCGTATCATAACTTTGAAGTGGAAAATATGTAAATTCGATAGGGTAGGGTGAATTTTTAAAATCAATTTTATGCTACTAATAAGTAACAACATCGTCGAAGCTGAAAAACAAATTTTCCACAAAAGTTGATAATTTAAAATTTGTTTACATTAACGACAGAATAAAATTATTTGATTTGAAAAAAATCAATGAGTCAGTCGTAGCAATAAAACGCAGTAGCTCGTTTTTAGCTCTAAGAAGGTCACTGTTTTATAGTAGTCACTTTTTTGAACGGTAGTATTTAAATTATATTGTGGTAATAAATATCATAATAAAAGGAATAAATTTTGTTTTATTGCCTTATCCATGGTTTTGTAAATTTTGGACGACTAAAATCTGATTGGTAGGTACGAAACGGCACACTAATTACCATAATAATAAACATTTTTTATAACAAATTATTAATTGAATACTTATAGGATCCAAAAAATTGTCCAATAAAATACAAAAATCGAGACGAGGCTCCATTTAAACAGCAAATCGAGGGTTTTTCAACTGATGAGTGAGCTGTGAGAGTATGTAATATGTAGTGCTAATATCCAACGAGATATTCAAAACTGTATTAAAATTATATGTTTCATGGAAGAATAAATATTTTGTGTCAATTTATTGATTTTTACCTGTCATATTTGTATATTATTTGCTGTTATATTCTAAATGAAATATAAAGTGTATAGTAAATGTGAATGAGAATACCTCCTTAACGTTAACTAAGCCCTAGTGTGTTTGGGGGTCATATAATAAAATATTTATCCCCCCCCCGCTCTCTTAAAATAGTGCTCAGTTACATGGTCTACCCAAATAATTAGTCGTAATTTTAAGAGTTTATCATGATAAGTTAAAAATTACTTGGTTTTTAACATGACATCATTGTTTTCAAACCATACTACACTATAACAATTAATAAACAATATATTATATAGCAATATACTATATTGTCGTTCATTATTGTATTCATGTATGTACATGTATGATGTATGTACATAGGTATTATTAGTAAGTATATTTTAAAACCAATGACTACATAATTATTATTTTTTAAGTGCGTTATTACCCAGCGGCTTGATAGGCGCATAAATTACCTAATATAAATTATTACAAAAGTGTAGTGATTTGTGAGTGGACTGTCTAGAACTATATATACTACACTTATATGTTTTTAGTGTCGCCACGCGCGTTCTTGACCTTTAGCAGAGCGCGGGAGACGCGCGATAATTTCGCACCGTCACGGCTGGCCGCACTGGTTGAAACACATGAGCCCGCTTGTTGTTTAGATGGTGTATTATATGTATCATGCACGCGCAACCGGCGTCGGCAAGTGGCAACGCGTTTTGTTGTTATTGTTCTATAACAAGCACGGCCGCGGTCCGCCGTACAATAACGGGGCTCCAAGGCGTCGGGACGTCCGTGCCAGCGTTCGACGCCGCCGTCGTCGTCACCGTCGACCGTCCACAGTGCACAGCACAGTCGCTAGTCAGTAGTGTGCGAGACACGCGCCGACCACAACGTGCTTTTGTGTATTCGCCAGTGTGCGTGTGCTTGTGTTAAGTGTGTGCGCAGACTACGCGTTCGTCTATATTTACATGTATCATTATTGTGTATTGTAATATATTTTTTTTTTTTGATTTGTCGGGAAAAAAACAAAATTGTCGGGTTAGCCGCCGTCGCGGAATGCCCGATAACCCGTAGATCGAATAGAATAATACCTATATATTAAAGTTTTTTTTTTTTTTTATACCGCGACAATTTTAGAAACAACGACCGACTAGTTGTCTCAGTCCCGTATACATTTAATACTGCAGCAGTGACAACTGGGATACCCAATAGATTATTATAATACAAAGCAGAAGAAAAAGTTAGAAAAAAATCACTGGTCGCCGACTCGACCGTCATGGGCGAAACGTAGCGAGCCGGTTTATCCGATCGACTGGCCGAGTTATTCTGACACGAGTTACACAATATTATTATTGTTAAACGTTACGCGAATCGAGCGTCCGACAGTGTGGATCACCGAAGTAACGTCATGCACGTGATGTTGGCCGCGTGGACACTGCTCGGCGTGGCCGTCTCGTCCTCGTCATCGCCGGCGTCGTCGTCGGACCCGTGGCCGGCGGCCGTGTCGTCGTCTCCCGACGAGTCCAACGATTCGTACACGACGGCCTATCTGAACGTCACGTGCTACGACGTCGCCACCGGGGCCGTCATCCAGTCCGATAAGTCCGAGATCGGCAAGTTCGGCGAGTATCACGTGGGTACCGCGTCCGGTCGGCTTGTGCAGATGTTGGGCATGGACGGCGACCGCAACGGGTGCGCTCCGCCCGTGCGCGTTGCCCCCGATCCGACTTTTGGGTCCGGTCCTTGGATAGCGTTGGTGCGACGGGGCAAGTGCAGTTTTCAGATCAAAGTGGACAACGCCCGCCGGGCCGGCGCCTCCGCCATAATCGTGTACAACGACCGCGAGGCCACGGACCTCGACAAAATGAAACTTCTGCCCTCCGATCCCAGTGAGTACACCGCATTGTTATTGTTGCCTTCCCGTCGTGTTTGACCCATATTTTTCGCTTACATGAAATCCTTGCGTTACGGGTACAGCAAATTACGGACTTGTCGTCGGCCCGTTAACAGTTTGGTCTGTCAAATTGATTTACCGTGTAAAAGCATCCACCCGTACCGACTATGTATTATATACATACCATCAAAATAACGCGACTCGTCTACAGCGGACACTAGGAGAAAGTTAAGAAGTGAACGTTATAAACGGGTGTCCGTGTACCGATAGATGTACCGATAACCGTATGCATAAAATCAATTGTGGATTTCGGTGGTAGCTATCCTACGGTTAAGGGTGTCTCTCTCTCTTCTTAGGATACAGGCAGCGGTCTAGAGAGAGACCATCCTACCATCGTAAGTGTGACGTATAGGAAGGGAGGAAGGTTGCGGCTGTGTAGTTAAACGCCCTAACGCGTAAATTTCCGATAGCCACTGTCTTGTGGATTTTGTACGCTACTAAAAAAACATTTTCATTTATAATTCATAATTAAATCTACATTTTATCTAATATATTAATAGATAAACTTGCTACTTTGCTGAACATAATATTATAATAGATAAAAAGCGAGCAAACGGGTATCAAAATAGCATTGATAAACAAACTATCTATAAATATATTTTTATTGACGTTGATCGATCCGATTTATTAATAAATATATATATATATTTTATAATGTAGTGATTGGAAACTTCATAGATAATATCTTGTGCCAGCTGCCCACTGCTCTAAGTTCTAACCTGACCTAACCTTACCTCCTAGGGGCCCTGAAACGAGCATTCGACGCGCCACTATAACAATTAATTATCACGATTGCACATGTGATCCCCACTGTTAGAATCTAAGTTGGGAAAGCTAATGCTGGTCGCCGTTGGCGGTATCGATAATATTAATACATTTATATAAATGTATCTAAAGGGAAAACTCAATTACCACCGCAACGCGTAGCAAACCGATTCCGGTTGTACTCCAATCGTTTCATAACAACATATTTGTTGTTTTTTTAGTTCTATTTAAAATGATTATTCTCGCAACGTAGTCATTGTATACCAAGATAAATCGAAACGGTCAGAACTCAAAATCACGTCTAACCGTTAGATTTTTTACAACATTTTCTCCAACGAAGAAAATTCTTTGTTAATGGTCGGTGCTGTAAAATCCTAATACTCTGTTGCAGCTATACATTTCACTGTATATACCTAAATGTAATTCATTAATATTATTATTATTATACATTGATTGTATTTAGGTCGCGTTCGTTTTGACCGAAGCAACTATCAACGGACAACTGTGCACAATTTCGATAGGCCAAAACGATTATTGGTAAATTTTGAATACAGACGGTTTTAATTATATTTTTATCGTACGACGCATGGCATGCGTTCTCCTTATAATATTACATTGTATTATAATTGACTAATTCGTCCCGCGTTATCTTTATAATAATATTACAAACAAAAGCCATAAGATACAGATAATGTAGTAATCGGCAACCGCTCATAATACTATGTTAATATATTATTTGAATTTATTTGATTGAACACCGGCCATTACGAAAAAAAACCAGTAATGATTAGTAATGATTATACATCAGCTCGAATTATTTCGCCATATAGCCTACATAGTTGACTTACAGACCTTTCTCACCACCTAATTTGTTTTTATCTTTTAATATAGTTTTTTTTTCGGTGAACTCGTTTTTTACTATAGAACATCTGTAAACGACCAAATAAAGCTTTTGCACTGTGATAGTGTGATGGTTCGTTGATATTATATGTATAAATAGAGTAACCTTTGAGATACATCGAACCTTAATTAGGTATGTCGTTTCGAAATTACTATGGTCTACGGTCTGTACCAAATACTAAGTTCAATGGTCAGTTTTTAATACGAATCGCTTTGTAACCGTGTAATCGTTTGACTAAAAAGCCCATGTACTCTTTCGCTTAAACTTTTATAACAAAGTGTCTGGTGGGTTCGGAATAAAAAAGTACAAAATAACGTTATAAAGTAACAAAATATTATGTATTAAGGTCTCTACCGTACAATTTGATTCTATGGTCATTTGCACCAGATATACTTAAATTTCATGTTTTCGACCGGTTATTGTTCGTAGTTTGCGTAATATCGTTTTCTAGTGCTCTATCGACTTTGAAGCTTAAATGCTAACGTATTTAGATATTTAATTAACTTTTTAATTTAAGAATAATTTGGTGAAAATATTGACTAGTCGATAACTAGTTTTGGAAAATTTCTTTCAAAGTAGTATAAAGTTTTAAAATTTTGAAATTTGAACGGTAGGAAGGGTTAAATGTAGTAATTCTTTTATCTGCGTGCATTGCTCTACTGTCCTATATTTCAAGCTTCAGTAACTAAAATTAATTATCGAAAACTGGTTATCGACCAGTTATTATTTTCAGCGAATTGTTCATAATTTAAAAAGTTAATTAAATATAATATACACTAAGTACCGTTTGTTTTAAAAGTTCTGAAAAAAAAAAACAATTATAATTTAAAACATATTGTTTAATTTTGTAAAATATTATTAACTAAAGTGTCTCCAAAAAGAAAACCTACATCATATAAAGAAAGTGAGTGTCTTGCCTTTAGAGAATTACACTGTACATAATATTTTATGGGTTACTGTTGTTTTAGAATGGAAACCCTTTAAACCAGTAATTGTGACGTTCTGTGCACAATCCCGGTTATGGTGCTGTTATGTTAACAGTCGGTTCTTTTTGTTTTTAAATTTCGTGGGACGCCTATAAATTGCCCAGGGCCACTGCGAATGGTCCCTCGCGTCGGCCTAAATCGACTACCTAGGCTACATTTATGTTTTTGTCGAATTATTAATTAAAAAAATATTCCAACGGCACGTCGTTATATTGTTGTTGTCACCTTTAAACATAAAAAATAAACTACGCTAACGATAATTTAATTTGTTTAGTTGCTCGCCCGGTCACAGTTTATAGAGTTTATGTACAATAATTGTAGAAGTCATTTGTCTAAAATACGTTAGCGTCCAAGGTTTCCCCGTGCGTTTCCCTGCGCCATTCCTAGATACTGGCTTTTCGAATTTCAATTAATGACCGACTAGAATGGTCGGCCGCCTCACGAGTAAAACGCACACCGAAACAGAGAGCATAGGCCACCCTGGGTCCGGTAAACAAACTGCGTTATCGATTGACGAGAACGCAAACAGTAGAACGACGTGTAACACAGTAAAAACTCAAACCAATTTCGTGTCGAAGTTTAACCACAAGCGCCACGCGTGTCGTGTGTCGATTGCTAGTGACAAGAAACGTTATAATAAACTCACAAGACCGAAAGCAATACTCATATAGGTGTGTGTCGTTTAGCGTGTCTGTTAGCTTGTCGCGTGAACGTACATTTTTGGGGTTAAAGCGTGATTCGGAAATCCTATTAAAATATAAGACCTGTTTTTATAACACCTGCGTTGGTGGTCTTGGGCGGTGGTGTCAGCAAAAGTAGTAGTGGTGGTGGTGGTGTTGTTGTTTGCGTCTGGTGCCCGGTCCGAGGGTTGTTTTAGTGTAGCTCATATAGTGTGTATACGTGTGGCACGATAATATATACAAACGAGACGCCATCGTAAACACGACGCCACGCCGGCGAACAAAGATTGCTTGGAAGGGAAACAACAAGAGGGTCGGCGAGTCGAGGGTGGTCGATTGAAGACTACGGCGAGATTGGATTTCTTCGAGATCCACGAGTCTAGATAGATGATGTTCAACTACATTTGTAGCGTTTACACGCGACTTGTATGACGACGGTTAAACTTTGCCTTACGAGTCACGCTCCCAAAAAAATCGTTTATCCTTATTCATAACGTCTATGTCTTACTTCAGGAAAAAATTGTCCAAAATAATATTTGTTGTTATTTATATGACGCGTATTGGTCATTTGCGGTCAGAAATTTCCGCCTATTCGCTGGCGCCGTAGTCGACGGCCCGACTGTATTTTTAAAAAACGCGCCCGGAGGCTTCGTGATGCTTACATAATATTATTATCTTGTTAAGTTATATATTTTTTATTTTGTAACAGGTTGGGGCCGGTAAGTAGGTGCCCACTGAAAATACCCATTTACATTTCAAAAAATAGGCGTCACTGCTTTCATCGTTATCGTCCAAAGTATTCCATTTTAAACGAAACCCGTGTAGTATTGTAACTGTCTTTTGTTATAAAATATTTGTTATCATCAGTCAGAGACGTAGTTGGGTAAGGACCAAAAAAAAAGAGAAGGGGCCTAGGGCGAAGGCTATACGTGTTTGTTGTTACAGACGATCAGGCGGTGGAACCTGTTAAACGACATAGGATAGTAAAATCCTTGTCAAAATTATTGTATGGTATTTGAGTTTTTCAGTACCGATCCAATGTTTTTAAACTGTATATTTATTAATCTGAAAGTACATTGCAATATTATTTTAAATTCTGGTTTGTACACAGCTTTTAACGGTTAGACTTTTTTACGAAACTTTTGGCCTACTCTCTTCATTGCCAAGGTCCGACCCGCTGTGCCAAAATAATATTCTATTTTCGTGTGCGCCATAGTTTTATCTTATTTTTCGTTAAATGTAATGCACAGTGGACAGGGGAAAAAAGCAAAAACGAGGTCGGTACGGCCATAGGCGGACAGGAAGTCCAACAACGGCTTTGTACCCTTTAAACACAATTGAAAAGAAAACAACGTAATTTCATTACTTCTTTCTTAATTCTGTTAAAAACAAGAAAAGTCTAAAGTGAAAAATCTGACTTGATAAATGCGCGTAATCGCATTTCATTGAAAAAGTATACATTTTGCGTTTGAAACAATTTTTTTTAAATCTCGCATACTAATCAAATTTAACGACGCACTTGGATTGTACTGACTCTCGAAAATTGTTTTGACAAAATATTATCTTAGTATCTTCAAAAAAACGTTCTGGAATGATTTTCAGT